GCTCATGGCTCATTGGCCTCATTTGCTACCATATGAATTTAGCCATTTCCTGTTGGCTACTACCCAGAATGTCAATGTGAATATTTTGGTATATGTGGGACATTGATTTTTTCTTTAAAGTCTTGAGTTAAAAGGTATTCATGTTTTAGTCACTTGCTTAGCATAATTCTAAATTGCTTTCCAGATTGGTCGGACCAATTCATAGCCACACCAACAACATATTAGTGCATCTGTCTTTAACTTGCTAGGTATGAGGTCCATTAGGAGCGCTTGAAAAGTTTTTTTTCCTTTGGAGCACAAAGGCCAGAAGACTAGGAAGGGCTACATGGTTCTAATTTTATGCACTTGAACCTAAGGGGTGGGAAAATCTAGACTGTCTGGATGTACTTAGCTATAACCTAGGATGAAGTGAGTTGGAGACTTGCTCCCATTTTTATTTTTAAAGCAAAGCAGAACAAACTGATTTATAAGACTAAAAGGACAGTTACAGTCTGTCATAGAAGGAACTCTGAGCTGTGTTTATTCTATTTAAATCCTGCCTTAGGAACTTAATGTGGTTGTTGAGGTATTGTGGTTGTGCCTGACTTTTCATGACCCCATTTGGGGTTTTCTTGGCAAAGATACTGGAGTGGTTTGCTGTTTCCTTCTCCTCCTCATTTTACAGATGAGGAAACTGAGGCAAATGGGGTGAAGTGACTTGCCCAGGGTCACACAGCGGTAAGTGTCAAATGTCTTCTCTGAGACTGGATTTGAACTCAGGTCCTCCTGACTCCAGGGCCTGTGCTCTATCCATTGCGCCACCTAGCTGCCCCTCTACTAGATTTTCTTTCATGAACCTTAATATTGTGCTTCTTGGGGGAGTTAGTATTTTGAAGAAAAAAACCTATTGACAAAACAGGAATGAAGTTAGATTGCAGTGTGATGGTAACCTTGAAAATTAGATAACTTTGTGAAATTTGACCTCCAGCCAGGCCCAGCTGTCCTGAAGAATGCCTCAGGAAAAAGCAAAAACTGTATGAGATTAAACAAAAATTGAGTACAGCCAAAGAGAAACCCCAGTGAATGAGTCCAGAGCAGGAGCCTGCGAATATTCTGGTCGGGGTGTACCTGGGGGATTGGAAGCCAGTACAACCTTTTGTGTGGCTGCACCAAGAGATAAGGCCAATGCTGTGGACCTGGAATAAGTAAGGCATGAGATCATAAGTATCTCCTGGTAGGCAAATACACAGAGCCGGAGAGTAGGTAGAAGGTGCAACCCTAGTTTGGGGCAGCTAAGTGGTCAGTAGGTAGAGTGCCAGGCCTGGAGTCAGGAAGACTAATCCTCCTGAGTTCAAATCTGTCCTCAGATGACCTCGGGCAAGTCACTTCACCGTTTGCCTCAGTTTCTGCATCTGTAAAATGAGCTCGAGAAGGAAATGGCAAACCTCTCCAGTATCTCTGCCAAGAAAACCCCAAATTGGGATCATGAAGAGTTGGACACACCTGAAAACGATTGAATTAAGGCCTGAGCCAGGGCTCTTAAGCTCTTCCATTAATGTCTGTGGAAGGGATGGAAGGATGCCACCAGCCTCCCCATCCTAGAACTGCAGCCCTGGAAGGCGCTTTCCCCCCTTGTATGGTGTAGTCTTCTCATGGGCCTGCAAGAGTGAGAGATGAGAAGGGCCTGGGCCTAGCCACCCCATCCAAAAGTGTGTTAAGAGTCCAAGAACTGACCTGGGAGATATGAGTAAGGAGAAGATTCTGCTATAAGGAAGAAGAAATAACTGTGAGTTAAGAGAATCCCAAGAGGAAAAACCCAGAAAAGGGAAAAGTAACTGCAGTTGTTGCAAGTAGAACTCCAGAAGTGGTTGGAAGAACTGAAATATGAGAGAACCAGGTCAGAGAATCTCCTTACCTGAGTATTAAGTGGGCACAGTGAAGAAAATCAGAACTAAGTGATACTGGGAAACAGGACACCATTGGTTTCTGTGGTAGATAAAGAATTGGGAATGCCAAGACAAGGCCAAGGAGCTTACATTCTAACAGGAGATGAGATGGGCCCATGTTGATGTACATGTGACCCACGAGGCTTGATCAGAAGGATCAGAGACATTGGGGCAGAGGGTAATAATGCCCAGATTCTTCTTCACTTGGGGCACCCAGGAGGAGGAGTGTGCCCTGGACAGAAACAGGGAAGTGAGGAGGGCTGGATTTGGGGGAAGGAGAAAGAAGCAAAAGGAGCTCTGTCTGGAGTGTGTGGAATTTGCTATGCTCATGGGACATGTAGTAGGAGGATAAATGACTCATCTGCAGCTGGATTGAAGCTCCTGGGAGAAAGAAGTCATCCATCAGTCCTTTACAGCACTCCCAATGAAGAAAGGACAAGCTGCTTCCAGCCCGTCACGGCACACATGCAGAGCTTCCCATGTAAACATCAATGCCTCAGAAATCAGGGCTTGATTTTGTTTTGTCTGGTCCTAAGAAAGGGATGGAGAAAAGTGTGGCTGATAATATTTACTTGCACCTCCCTGGCTGCCAGGGACCTCAGTGCTTATGGCATGTAGTCCATAGATGAGAAGAATCTCCACTGAAACCTACTGGGCAGGTAGCGGGCTAGACCTCAGAGAAGGGTTCTGGGTGGCTTTCTGAGGCCAAGCAGAGCAAGGCTAAGCCTTCCTCTACAGGCTAGGCCTTCTGATGCTGGAAGAAGTGGCCCCCAGGTCTCCAGGCTAAACAGGACCATTTCCTTGGACTGATCCTTGTGTGACATGAATGCATGGCCTGCTTGCCATCCTCTAGAGACACTTCAGCTTATCAGTGTCTTTACTGAAATTTGGTACCCAGAACAGAACCTGGTTCTTTTTTTTTTTTTCTTTTCTTTTTTTTTTTCTTTTAGGCAATTGGGGTTAAGTGACTTGTCCAGGGTCACACAGCTAGTAAGTGTCAAGTGTTTGGTCTGAGGCCAGATTTGAACTCAGGTCCTCCTGACTTCAGGGTCAGTGCTCTATCCACTTCGCCACCTTGCTGCCCCGAGAACTTGGTTCTTGAGCCCAGACAAGGCTAGAACACAGGGGGATTGTTACCACCTTGTTCCTGGATGCTGTTAATGCAGTCCAAGATCCCATTAGCTTTTGGCTGATTTGCTGAGCCATTAAACTGCCCAGGTCTTTTGGAACAGTTCATGCCTTTTGCATTTTATAATTGTGAAGTTGCTTTTTTCATGCCCTATTGAATTTCATTTTAGTGGTTGGAGCCCCATGCTAGCCTGTCTAGATTCTTTTGGATTACATCCCTCCCAACTTTGTCATCTACCAGTTTGATAAACAGCTCACAGATTCAAGGGATGCTCCACTGGAAGTCTTAAGTCTGACCTCCAACCAGGTCAGAATTCATTTGATTGTCTTATTGTCCAGTCCAAGTCTGAGTCTCAGTCTTCTCCACAAGAAAGTCTGTCAGCAGGTCAGCTACAGCCGTGGCCTTCCCCTCATCTTGTAGTACAGAGATCCGGCCCAACCAGGGATTGAGGGGGGTGTAGCTGACCGCTCACCTTTCAAGATGTTTGGCAGACATCTCTTTGGTATCTGTTCTGGAAGAGATTTGGCAATGCCACATACAGACGGTGGAGAATTCCCTTAAAATTAGTTGACGAATAAGCCTATTTTAAGGGCCCTCATCTTATTGAATATGATGCCATGATTAGCAGGTATACATTGCGCTGCCTGCTTGTAGTCAGACCTATTGCCAAGGAGGAGAGGAGCATAAGATTTTTTTCTGGGACCATACGTATTCACCTTTCTTGTAGCCAAGGCAGTTGCTCTTTCAAAACTTGATGGCCCAACTTTAATAGTTATCGCTGTGCCAAATCCTTATGCTATTCTAGACCTTTGATGTTACTGGAAAGCTGTAAGGGAGGCTAGGTGTTTGTGTAAATCCCATTCTGAGCTATAAAATGCCTGGCATTGTAAACCGTAAACTGCATCTGTCTGGGTGAAGTAGGTAGAGCCAACATTGGCCTCATTTTCCAAATCAGAGCTGAGCCTACACAGCTTGCATTTCCACGATCACCATTCTATGGGCACAGTCTGGTTGGTGGTGTCTTTGTGGCTGGGCAGCTGTGCCATGGGGGCAGCTGCTTGATTTCTTCTGTAAGTGGGGACACATTCCTTACAACCATGTGAGAGAGTGTGCATTCTCCCCATTCTGCTGCTGAGAAAACAGACCCTAGACAGGTTAAGTGAGTGGGTACAGGGTCCTGTCACGACCTCCCCTGGTCTGCACTTTTCTGGTGGGCCCCTCCATGGGGGGGTGGCACAGGCTCTTGACAAGTGCCGTTTTAATTTGTTCGTATGGTGCCTGGTAGTAGGATGTTTAAAAACAGAGCAAGCAGGGTGAGCAGGAGGATCCCCTCTCAGTTCCCCAGGCTCTTCTTTGCTTCACCTTCACCTCAAGCACCTGAGTGTTTGAAAAGGCATGGAGGAGTTACTCCTGTGTAGCAGGCCTGTCCAGGGCCTGCAGGTGCAAAGTGAGGAGAATTCTGCCCTCAGAGAGCTCCCATACTAATAGGCAGAACCCAGGGGAAGGTATGTGTAGTGGGGCCAGAGAATAGAGTTGATACTGTTTGCTGTAGCTCTGGCAGGGTTGATTGGATTATGGTTGGGGGAAGATGGGATCTCAGCCAGTGAAACAAGCTTGGCTTTCCACCCCTGTGCCAGCTCTCTGCTTTGGGAGACAGGGTTGTAGATTTGGAGAGGGTAGGCCCATGGGGGTCCTCCTGTAGTGCCCAGGAGGTGCTCCCTCCCCGCCCGGAACTCTTCAGTGTCAGTGTTGGAAGGGAAGCGCTTTGGATGCTCGTCCATGCAGCGCCTTGGGGGGAGCCCAAGTCCTTGCGGGGGGTGGGAAGATGTCATGGGGGCTGCCTCCTCGGCCCTCTTTTCTTCCTGTAAATTTGAAGTGGTCAGAGTGTATGCGGGAGTTAGTTAACCACTTCCCACTCTAATTATACCTGTCTTAAATCTCTCCAGGAGGGAAGAAGAGGCCCCTGCTCCGTCCACATCTGCGGACAAAACTGATAGGTAAGCAGCAGCAGCAGCTGTCTCTCTGGAATGGGAACATGAGCACTGCATGCCTAGCTTGCTTCTGTTTGGTGGGTAAGGCCTGCACACGTCATGGTGGAACCAAAGAAGATATGGGGGCTACTTGACTGAGTCCCTTTTAATGAGGGGCCTTGGGAGATCTGCCTTTGATTTTTTATTTTTTGAGTTGAGCACCCGCGTTTCAGAAGCTGATTTGAGGTTGAATCTAGGGTTTCTGTTAGCATTGGTACAAGACTCATGGATGTGGCTGGTTGAGTTTTAGGCTTTCTTGTTGGGCCTTTCACCCTGGGACTTGGGGGTGAGTTGGCGGGTCTCCAAGGGCAGATGCCAGCAGTGGTGGAGTCAGTGGTTTGTCTCACTGAGGAGAGGAGCAGGGCAGCCACCCCTCGTCTGAGCCGCTGTCAGCCTGACTTAGAGTTGAGGGTGCCCCTTCTGTTACCCTTCCGATGAGTTTTCTTAACAATCTTGAGGGATAGTGATGGTGTTGGATGAACTTGACCCCAGGAACCTAGAGGGATTTAATCCCCTTCACTTGTTTAGTAAAAGTATATATGCTGTATGCACTAACCGCTAACACTGGTGAGAGTGAAGTTCTGGAGACACTGTGGAGATGAGGGTGTAGCTGGCTTCGCCACAACCAGTCGTAGTCCCTCCCAAAGCACTTTGCTCCCCTTGCTGCCACTGGGAGGTTTGGTGAGGCCCAGGGGTCCTCAACTAGAGCGTCAGTGGTCACCCAGGTGTCAGGGTTCAAGTGGAGCACTGCCCAGCAGAGGGGTTATCTAGCTGTGGTTGGCAGCTGCTTGCTTGCTCAGTTTCTAGGCCTTGAAGTTCACCTAATGCAACTTGGTGACTTCAGTAAAGGCATTCATCCTTTCACGCGTGAACTCATGTAGCTGGGGGCAGAAGAGGCCTGAAGCCTGGCCTGAGCTTTCCTTCTTCCTGGCTGCTGCTCCCTATGTGGGGTGCATAATATGATGGTCCTCTGGCTGTCCAGGCCAGTCTGCTCCAGTGACGGCCTAAATTCTGAGGCTACGCTAGCTCTCTGCCCATTCTGCAGACTGTTGGTGCAAATGGGGCCCTGCCTCCTAAAGTGGAGGGGCTTGATGACAAGCAGGCTGCTCTAGTGACCAGAGTTGGAGGAGTTTCACAAAGCTTTTGGCTTAAAAGGTGACAGATGTGACAAGCTAGTTGACGTGAATGGGGGGTGAGAATGGGGAGGATTGAGGACTTAGGCCTGTGGAGTTTGGTGGGGGGTGTTCCTTGGGGGGACATAAGGCTGTTTTTTTTCTCCTGGGGGTTGGGGTAAGGATTGGTTTTGTATGGAATTGGTGGCCCTTGGGGTCTTGGGCTGGGAGTCTGCTGTTATAGAGTGTGGGTGTTGGTTCTGACCTGTAGTATCTGGTTTTTGTTTCTCTTCCTGTATCTGTCACCCCCCCAGCCTGGATGTGGATAGTGAATCTAAGAAGCTGCTAGGCTTGGGGCAGAAGCATCTGGTAATGGGAGACATCCCAGCAGCTGTCAATGCATTCCAGGAAGCAGCTAGTCTCTTGTAAGTATCGATATTTGCTTTTGGTAGAGAAGGGATGTGTGTCATGAATGGCAGGTTGCAGGTTAATAGGGCAGAAGGTGTCTTGAGCTCTGCCTTTGTTGTCCCCACTCCCCCTCTTCAGACCTTTGGCTTGAGTTGCTTTCCCTACCTCTAGGCCTTCTTCCCCATCCTGTCCTGTGGCCAGTCATCAGACTAGAGTGCCGAGGACATTTGGATGTGGCCTCCCCTCTTGACAGGAGTGTACTGGACTGTCCTAGGCTGTGCCCCGCCCTTTCGCGCAGGGCACAGGAACAAGTGCCCCCAGACCTGGCCCAAGCCAAGCCCCTCTTTCCCTGGCATTCAGGGGCTTTCCTGATCTCCCTGCCCCTAGGTTGTGGGGCTAGCTCTGTAGCACGAGCCCTTGCTTCTGTTCTGTGCAGCTGTCAGGGCCTCTGTCTCCTTGTCCTCTCTCCCTCCTGATCTTCACGTCCACCACCTTTCTGATATGACTCTGGGCTGCCCTGCCAGTGGCACTCACCACTTGTCCTGGCCTGTGTCTGTCCTTAGTGAAATGAGAAGTGGTGCCAGGCGCTTGCTCAGAGATGTCCATTGAAGCCAATTTAGGGGTTCAGGGGACTTTCTGAGAAGTCACGGTTGAGTCACTCAGTGTCAGATATTTGCCTTGGTGATGAAAACACTCAGCACTGACTCAGTGTATGGGCCTGAAGAGGATGAGGCAGCTGTGGCTTCATGGCCTGTCCTCTGGTCCAGACTCCAGTCCAGAAGGATGAGGTGATGGTTTTATAGGTGAGATAGCTTCTCTTATTTTTTTTATTATTATTATTTTTTTTTTTTCTGTGTGTCCTTTCCTCCCTAGGGGTAAGAAGTATGGAGAGACAGCTAATGAGTGTGGAGAAGCCTTCTTTTACTATGGGAAGTCTCTTCTGGAGTTAGCAAGGTATGTCTTCCAAGGCTCAGTGCCTGGGATGTGTAGGGGGCACCGGTGCTTTGACCCTCTTCTCCCAAGGTGGCACGTGGGGTAGGAGGAAGACCCAGTTAGCAGGATGAACAGAGGTGTTGCCCAAGTATTTGAGCAGGTGGTTGATAAAGGCCAAGCAGGAGTGCAGATGCTTTGGTTCTAGATGGGAGGAGTACACAAGCTGTAGAAATGGAGAGATGGATGTGCTTTCATAGAAGGCTGAGAACTGGGCATATTCTCCCACTGGAAGTGAAGAGTCTAGAATGGAAGAGCACCTTTCTTTAGCCCTCTGTGCAAGCTTAATGGAAGTGGGCAGCCATGAAGGTCAAAGACCCTTCATTGGGTGGTGGAATCAATGCCATAAGATGCATAGTGAGCCTATGGTTCCTTCAAGGGCTGGGGACGGGGCTGCCTTGGGCTGTCAATGGTAGAGGGTCCACCTCTGCCAAGGTGGGCTGGTGTGTTATTTGCCACCTGCCAGAGGTTGCCATGTTGCCTCCTGCAGAATTGCAGGGGGGGTTTAGATGTGTTAGGTTAGACTGAGCAATTTAGAAATCGAGTGATTTTTCATATTGTGTCATCTAACAATAACTTAATTCTGGTAAATTGCCCAGTTGTAATGTTGCTCACTCATGATAGTAGCTTGGATTTCTACCATGCTTCAGATTCTGCAAAGTACATCCTATAGGGCACGTAGCATTTATAGAGAGAAACAGTGTGGTTGGAAGGGCCCCAGGTCATAAGTACATGGTGCAGTCAGAGTTGGGGGGGGGGGGAGCCTGTCTCTAAGGCCCCTCGACGCTTTACACATGTGGTATCCGTTATATTGGCTGTCACTGTGAAAGTGGGAGGGGAGAAGGGGCCATGGTTATTTTTCACAATCTTGTCAGTAACTGTGATGCCCCGCCTCATGGGCAGGGCCTCAGTGCCTAGAGCCCACACTCCTACCTTGATAACATCCCTAGCAGCCATCCATTCACACCAGCACTTGCTTTTGCACCCCCCCTGCCCTTCCCCTGTTTTTTCCTCCCTCCCACAGTGCTCACTAATCCTTTTGCTCTCTGCACACTTTTGCATTCTGCTCTGCTGTATTCTGAGCTCAGCACAGGGCATTGCTAGTACTGACCTCAGGAGGAGTGAGAAGGAGCCCAGCTGTCGTATCTCGGTGCTTTCTCTCTTTGTTCTCCTCCTAGAATGGAGAATGGTGTGTTAGGAAATGCCCTGGATGGAGTACCAGTGGATGAAGATGGAGAGAGAGCAGAAGATCAGTCTGTGGTAGAGAGTACTGATAACGTAGAGGGTATGTAGCGCTGCATGTCCTACCTCTAGAGCCACCATGCTCGGTTTCCTGCCTTCCCTCAAGGGTCTCTGCTGCCACACATCTGGGGAATGCTCAAACATTTATGGATGGTGCCTGGGGCAGGCAAGGTCATCTGAACTGCCCCCTTGGGAGGAAGTAACTGAACTCCTCACCAGCTGAGGCTTCTGGGGGCTGCTTCTTTGGAGCAGTGCTGCAATCCAGAAGCTTGCCCTGATCCCCGTATTTGAACCAGCTGGGCCCTCACTAACTGTACCAAGATAGAGGGAAGTCTTTTCTAACGCACTTCCTTGAAGCCTGAGTGCCCTGGCAGGCGGGAGCAGGGAAGAGTTGGCTTTTGGCCAGAACGATAGTAATTAATAACCCTGATGACCCACATTTCTGTAGCATTAAACATTTACAAAACTCTTTCCATTTACTCTCTCGTTTGAGCCTGCAACAGCTTGGCATCCTGTATTGGCTCCTGTGCTTTAAGTCTGGCCGGCTCTGTCTCAGTGGCTTAGCTCGAGGGGCTCATTTGGGAAGGAGCTGCTTTGCTGGCTAGGACCGGCTTCTCTTTGTTTGGGCTTGTTTCCAGGGGCAGAGTTCCATTGTAGTTCATCAGCCAGGCTGAGGGTTAAAGGGGAATTAATTTTCATTTCCATTTATGCCTTTTGTCATTAAACTGGAAGAATTGTTTATGCTTCATGTTCCTTCACCATGTAGAGGAAGCAAGAGGCGTGTTGAAAGAACAGGCCTCTGATGCCATGAAGGACCAAGAGACAGCACAGGAAGCCCAGGTCGAGGCTGCCAGTGTGAAGGCCACGGCAGCTGCTCCTGCTGCTGCAGGGGAAGCCCAGGGAAGTCCAGCCGAGGCCGAGACTGTGGGAGCTGACGTCGAGATGAAGGAGGAGGAGGAGGCCCAGGCAGAAGTAGCCCCCGGAAGCCCTGAGAGGGCCCCGAGCACAGCCCAGGAGCCTGAGGCAGCGGCTGCTTCAGAGGAGCCTGAGGCAGGCTCAGGAGCCACAGCTGCTGCCCCCCAAGACGGAAAGCCAGCGGAAGCAGAGGAGAAGCAGGGGGAGGTAGTTGTAGGAGCAGAAGAAGGGCCCAGAGATGCTTCTGAAGAGCAGCCAGCCCCAGCTCCGGCCCTGGAAGAGCAGGGAGCTACAGCCGAGGTGGAAGGAGAGGCGGCAGACGGGGGAGAAGGGGAGGAGGCGGAGGTGGAGGCAGCCCCAGCCCCAGCAGCATCCGAGGCTGAGAAAGAAGAGGAGGAAGTGGTCCCTGCTAAAGAGGAGCCAGCAGAGGTTTCAGGTGAGGCCCAGGCAGAGGCACCAAGTGAGGACGAGCCCGAGGAGCAGCCAGCAGCCACCCACACAGAGGGTCAAGACAGTGCACCCCCTGACCCGGGGGAGGCGGTCCCTGCAGAAGACCAGGCCACTGAGGAGCTCACAGACACAAAAGAGAACTCTGCTCCTGACGCAGAGCCTTCAGCAGAGGTGGCACCTGCCCAGGAGGGGCCCCAGGGCACCCCAGAAGACTTCAAGGCAGCTGGAGATGGGCCAGAGATGGGCTCTGGGGACCAGGTGGCTCTAGGAGCACCCCCTGAAGAGAAGGATGAGCTGATGAAGGAGGAGGAGGAGGAGGAGGAGGGAGAAGGTAACAGGGAGGCCAGGCCTACTGCCGTGGGGGGATGACGTGATGGACCTGGCTCACTAACGTGGGGGAAAGTCAGCCTTCCATTCAGAATTTTCCGTCTGCCTTTGGACTAGGAGCAAGCAGGGTGGCCACAGTGGGCGCTGAAGACAGGCTCTGAGCCCACTGGAGCAGGGGATCGGGAAGCAGCAAGTCTCCCTTGGCTGGCTCAAACTAATGCTTTTACTAACTGCCATCGAGATGCCAGCTGGGCTTTCCTCGCCTGGCCAGGGACTTGTACAGTGTTAGCCCCACGGGAGGGAGGAGGGGGAGAGCAAAGCAGGGACAGGCTGTAGCCTCCAAGTAACCAGGCTGGCAGAGAATGCTGAATGGACGTCCACTTGCATGCCTTGGGTTATTTAAACGTTTACTGTTCGTAAGGTTTACTTTAACATCTGTTTTAGGAAGTAGGGTCAACACAGTAGAATCCACAGATTGGGCGCACATAAGGAGGGAGGGAGGGCTCTGTTCTGTGGAAGGAGTTAAAATTCTGAGCTATGCCCAGCTATGCTGTGATACGCAGACAGACGCTGCTGCCGCCCTGTACCAGAGGGAGGGCTCGCTCACCCCCCTCGAGCTTTGCTGCTGCTGCTGCTGCTGCTGCTGCTGCTGCTGCTCTTTCCTGTCCACCTGCTTCCCTGCTCTAGCTCACCTGCTTAAATTTGGGCCTTTGGGTAACTTGTGTTTTTAATTATTTTGTATAATCCTTACAATTGGCAAAAGAGCAAATCGAACAGTGTACATAGATCAAATTCATTCCTTGGGAATGGTCTCAGTGTGTGTCATTTGAGGATTCTACTGTCTGACGGTTCATCTAACACCGCCATTAATCGTGGGTATGTTCCCATTGTTTTCTCCTGTGAGCGATGCCTAGATCCAGTCCTCTCCGCCCAGCCCCTAGCCCTGGCCCTTGCCGCCTTCAGGCCACTGAAGCTTCTTGGGAGCCTAGCAGCCATCAGTGGTCAGGAGGGAGCTGGCCACTTAATGCTTCCTGTGGCCCAGTTTTAGAAAGGAAGGAAGGAAACAAGCATTTATTATTCCGCTACTATGCGCCACCCATGTGCAAAGTGCTTTAAAAGTATTATTTGATCCTTACAACAATGCTGCATGGTAGATGCTGTTGTTAATGCCCATTTTACAGTTGAGGAAAATGAGTCAGCGAGGTTCTGTGACTTGCCCATAGGGTTACCCAGCTAGTAAGGATCCAGGGCTAGATTTGAACTCCAGACTCGGCTGCACCAGCTGCCTGTAGGAAAGGGCTAGGACAGGCTCAGATTTCTGGGGTAGCTGAGCCTCCCTTGGATTGGAGAAGGTGGTGGTGTGTCAGCACTAGCAGTCAGAGATCTGCCTGCTCCCTTGTTCCACCTCCTTCCCTCTCCTTCAGAAGTACTAGGGGTCAGGGTGCCTTGGCCACATGTCTTTCAGAGCAGACTCCAGGTTAAGGCCCTCCTAGACCACTGTAGTCTTTCCCCTGCCCCCAGACAGTGGCTGGGAGGGCGCCTTCAGACCCACTCAGATCTAGAAAATCCAAGAAAGTCCCCGTTCCCCCAGATTTCCACCCTGTCTGGAACAGATGTTCAGCCTGATCCATATTGGCTGACTTCACCTCTAAGTAATAGAAGCTACATTTGCCAGTTAAGCGAGTGAAGAGGTGGTTCTGTTGTAGCTAGCAAGGAGTGAGAAATGCTCAAACAGTCAGTCACTGTCTGCTGTGTTTCGGGCACTGCCATGCCACTTCACAGAATCACTGGCAGGGAGCCCTGTGCTCACACCCAAACAGTCTCTGCTCTCGGACCTCCAGGAAGGAGGCCGCCCTTCCCTGCTAGAGAGTGCTCTTTTTCACGATTTATGGCCCTCAGTCTATCTGCCTATACTTGACCCTCAGAAATGTGCTTTTAGAAATCCAAGATAGAAAGACAGCCAGGCAGAATGGAGCCCCAGGGCCTGCCCCTCTCAGTCTCTCGGAGTCCTGAATTGGGGGCAGTCTGCCACCCTTCACAGACTGCTCTGGAGCCTCAGCAGAGGAGGGGAACCCACCAGGCCAGGCCTGGTTGGGTTGTAGGATAGAAGCAATGAAAACCCAGGACATGCTGAAGGGCAGTCCTCAGATTCGGTGTGAGCAAGAAAGTCATTCCCAAGTCACCCTGATGAGTGAGCTGGCATTAATTAGATGGAAGGTCTGGCCCTTGAGCATCCAGTCCAAGAGGCTGGTGGTCATCTTGGGCCTCTGCAGACACTGGCTTTACACTTCAGCTGTACCCTTCTGGTGGCTGGAGCTGACAGATGATACTTTACTATGAGGTACCTGAGCTTCAGAACAGCCCAAAGATCCATCTGAGAGAACTTCTGCTCTCTTTGCAGATGGGGGTGTGGCCAGCTTCTCTTCCCCTCATGCTCCTGACCAGGCGCTGATCCCATAGCTCCTCAGACCTAGGCGCCGGATAGGCTGTGCATCACCTGGGTTAAATCTCCTGGGTTTGTGTCCAGTCTGCCCCACTGCTCACCTTTACCATGATTAACTTTAAGCTCTGATTTAGCTGACACATTTACCAAGGTGTTTGAAGCGCCCGTGGCCTTTGGATTGGAGGTCATGGTTAACAGTTGGCTGGGTCCTGGTCTGCAGACAGCTTCTGATTCTGGAGGGATTTTTACTTGTAGAAACTGAAGGCTCTGAAGAGGAGGATAAAGAGAACGAAAGAGAAACTGAAGAGCATGGGAGCGATTCCAAGCTAGAAAACAAGGTGGGTTCTCTGCGTGTGTGTGTGTGTGGGGGTGTGTGTGTGTGTGTGTGTGTGTGTGTGTGTGTGTGTGTGTGTGTGTGTGTGTGTGTGTGCCTGACCCTTCATGGCAGGCCCCCCTGCACTTGAGCATGACTTCCTTGACTTACTCTTTGTCTCTTCAGGAGAATGAGGAGGAGGAAATTGGAAACCTGGAGCTTGCCTGGGACATGCTGGATTTGGCAAAGATCATCTTTAAGAGGTAAGGAGCAGCCCAGCTCCTCTTGGGCTCCCTCCTGTCTAAAGAGAAAGCTAATGATGCTGCTTTTCCTGTTTTAGGCAGGAAACGAAGGAAGCCCAGCTGAATGCAGCTCAAGCTCACCTGAAACTGGGGGAAGTGAGCGTGGAATCAGGTAACTAAGCAGCTACTTGGGGGCAGTCCTTGGGAACACGTCCCCCTCCTCCCCCAGCTCTGAGCAGCCAGGACATTCACCCTCAGAGGCGGCAGCCAGGGGAAGTCACTCATTTGTCCGTGACGGGGCTGGCTTGCTGCTGGGCCTGGCTTGTGGGTGTGTGGTGACTCTGAATTGTGGTTTGGCCAGGCAGTTAACAATGGGTATCCCATCAGTTTATATGTGGTCACCTTACGGCTTCCCCATTTGTTCTCTCCTATTGTACAGAAAATTACAGCCAGGCCATAGAGGAGTTCCAGGCCTGCCTTGCCCTCCAGCAGAATTACCTGGAGGCCCATGACCGGCTGCTTGCTGAGACCCATTATCAGCTGGGCTTGGCCTATTCTTACAACAGCCAGTACAGCGAGGCTGTGTCTCAGTTCACCAAGTCTGTGGACGTCATCGAGAAGAGGCTGGGTGAGTGTCCCCCTTGCCAGCGACCCTTCTCCACTGTGGGTGTGGGGAAGGTGTCAGCGCACTGAAGGGCGCGCACGTGCCCTGTACCTTTGCAGCCATGCTGAACGAAAGGATAAAGGCGGCTGAGATGCCATCCGCCGAGGACGAGAAGGAGGTTGAGGAGCTGAAGGAGCTGCTCCCTGAGATCAAAGAGAAGATTGAAGATGCCAAGGAGTCCCAGAGCAGCGGGAACGTCGCCGAGCTGGCTCTGAAGGCCACCCTGGTAGGTTCACGGCAAGCACAGCCCAAGCCTCCTTGGTCCGCTTTACGCCCAGGCCCAATCTCCTGTGGGCTTATGGCATGCGCGCCCCCTCCCTACCTCACTGACCTCTGCATTCAGGACCCAGGCCTGCTTGTGTTCCCCTGGGCCCAGGGCCTGCAGAGCAGCATGGCCACTGTGGCCAAGAGGGGCATAAGATAAGAGCAGGAAGTTCCTGTGAAGCTGGACTTGTGGGTCTGAAGCTTAGGCTGGGCCTTTGGGAAGGAGATGTTGGCAATGAGTGGGTGAGAGCAGGGCCCTCTTTTTTTCAGGTTCAGGCTGCATCTGGTTTCACATCAAGCAGTGGAAACTCCTCAGCCTCAGGGGTAGGTCTCCAGGGGCTGGCTGGGTGGTAGCGGAGGGTTACGCCAGGCCTCCTCACTCGTGCCTGACTCAGTCCTTGGCTTGTCACAGATCGCAGCCAGAAGACCCACAGATGGTGCTACTACGTCGTCTTCCAACTGTGTGACTGACATTTCCCACTTGGTCAGAAAAAAGGTCAGTTCCTGCAAGCTTGACAGTACAAGTTGGGTCCCCTGGGCAGTTCTGTTCTGTGGTGGGAGGTTCCTGGTTTTCTGTACAACACAGTGTTCTTGTGCTTCAGTGAGAGCTGTGAGCAGTCCACAGTCCTGTTCTTGGCAGGGATCCTGGGAGGCCCAGTGGTTCATACACTTGTAACCCTTAAGAAGTAGAGCCTTGCTCTGGGCCTGTCTGTCTCTCTGGTATCCACTGGAGTCCTGGCATCAGTAGAAGGGACACTTGTGTTTTCTTAAGCCACTTTGCAGCTGTGTGCACTGAGGCTTTCATACTTTTGTCTTCAGAGGAAACCTGAAGAAGAGAGTCCTCTGAAAGATGCTGAGGCCAAGAAGCCAAAGCAAGAGCCAGCTGTCAATGGTGGGGGCGGAGATGGCGATGGAGGTGGGGATGCTGCTGCTGCTGCTCAAATTGAGGCCACAGAAACCATGGAGGCAGAGGTGAGCAGGCCAGCAGCAGAGGCAGAGTCCGCTGGGACAGGACAGGAGAGGGGGGACTCCTCATTCCATCCCCACCCCCTCACTGGCCTAGGAGTAAGCAGACGGGAAGGGGTTTCTGGGGTCACCTGAGCCTCCTGTCCTGAGAGTTCACAGGGGCTGCTCCCTCACTCTGGGAAGGGATGGGGGAAATCCCCACTGGTCGCTCACACACTCCTGTCCTTGTCTCCATAGGCTGAGAACCAGACCCCAGCTGAACCTGGAGCTGCCACTGTACAAGGCACCGCGTGAACCTCCCAGAGGGAGGCGGGAGGACCCTTCTTCTCTCGAAGGACGATGCTTTTGTATATAATGTATTTTTTCACTTTTGGGGACTCTTTTTGTATAACTTCAATAAAGATTGTATGCAAAGGTTGAAGCGTGGATGGTTTTTCTTCCTAGTGACCATGTCTTCAGGCACCACCTGCTTTTTTTCTTGTGGCTAGCCCAAGGCAGCGCTGGCATCCTGATGTTTGTGTAGGACCCAAGTTCCTGATGGATTTTGGCTTAGCTTATACTGAGGAGGACAGAGGAGAGGAGCCCCTGCCTCCTGCCCCATTCTCAGGCTCCCATTTAGGGGGCTCTTCTTGTTTCTCAGCCTCAGCTTTGTTTGGGGTACTGGAAAGACTTGAGAGCATTTTGGGGTCCCTAATGGGGCTTCTGTGAACCCGCTCAGGTTTTCTGACTTGGGCCACAGCTTCCACCTGCAATGTCCACCTGGCCTCCCTGGAGCACTGCTTGGCCTCTTGAAGGAGGAAATACGTGAAAGCAGGGGGATCATTGCCTGGGACTTTGGGAGAACTGGAGACGTCTCAGTGGAGAGCCAGGCTGTTGCTTTCTGGCACCATCTTGGCTCAGCAGATAGCCAGTCAGGTGGGAGGGATTATTAGCTTTGTGACGCTGGGTAAGTCACTTTACCCTCTCTACCTCAGTTTCTTCATCTGTAAATGAGCTGGAGAAGGAAATGGCAAACCAGTATCTTCGCTGAGAAACTCCCAAATGGGGTCATGAAGAGTTGGACAATAACAGAAAAGTGCCATTGGGGTGTCTCCCGTGGTTCTCGGGCTTGGTGAGATGAGTCAAGAATGTGAGCATGTGTGTTGGTGAGTGAGTCAAGGAGCAAATGCTAACTCTTCCAGGCCCTGGGGTTTACAGAGATAAGTGTGAAACGTTTCCTGTTTCGAAAGAGTAATGCAATATAAAAATAAGTGGGAGGTGGGAGTAGGGTGATGAAAAAGTGGCCTCTTCTGGAAGGTGGGCATGAGATTGCCGACGGAACTATGTTGGGTGGACCAGCCACCACGTGGTGCAGGAAGGGGTGGGCCTGGGTCTCCCTGTTTAGCATGCCCCTTCCCTGACCCTAAGCTGGGCACGTGGACATTGAATAGGCCAGGAATACTGCTTCCTGCCCACAACGAGCAGGTGCCCTGAGCAGGATGGTAAGTGGGTCTGACTGCCTTCTTGGGGGACTTGGCTGCCATGGGCCAGGATGATTGGGGGTGTGGGCAGGCTTGTCCAAAGCACAAGGGCTTATGGGCTGGGGGCCTGCATTAGAATTGAGGGCTGGGAGTCAGGGACAGCCAGTACCAAGGTGTGTATGTGGGAAGAACCAGGAAGCCATTGCTCCAGAACATAGATTTCATGAAGGGAAGGCATGGTGAAGTCCAGAGGCTTAGATGGCCAACCTCCCCACTGGTTTAGCCCAGAAGAAAGGCCCCTGGGGGTTGGGATGGGTCGAGTGGCACTGCAGATGCCGCCCTGTTTGTAGAAAAGTCAGATCTGAGAGCTCAGCCCAGTACCTGTAAGGGCTTCTAAGGTGCCTAAAGGCTTGGCTATGACCGGTAACTGGTGGTGCAAAAAGGCCACTGAGGGGCCCCCCACATACCCCGGGCTGTCCTAAGACACCACCATCGAAGCCCAAGTGCCTCTTCGGGGAGCCCAGCCCCCACCACGGGACCAGGGCATCCCTTGTGTATACAGTGAAGAGGAAGGGCATCGGAGTGGGAGCACCGAGTCGGATGTGTGGGAGGAGCACAGATAGCCAAATGGGATGGAGTGCAGGAGGGTGGGTGGGGCAAGAGCCCCTAAAATCAGCAGGTTCAGGCCAGATGTCCAGTGGCCCGGTGTCTTCAGAGCTGTGCCTAGAGCCTGGAAGCCGAGTTCAAAGCCAGCCTCAGACATATACTAGCTGTGTAACCTGAGTGAGTAAGTCAGCTTCTCTCAGCCTCAGTTTCCCCATCTGTAAAATGGGGACAATAACAACTACTTTCCAGCATTGTTGGGAGGGTCAAGTGAAATAAAACATGCGAAGTGCTTTGTCAACCTAACAAGCTTTTTGTATATGCTAGCTAGCTATTTTGGCTGGGGGAAGCTCCTGTGCCTGGATGTGGTGGAAGACTACCTGCTTGGGGGTGGGGGGGCAGCAGCAGGGGCTGGACTCAGATGCTGGGGCTGCAGCCCCCCCCACACACACACAGTAGGTGCTTATGTAAATTGCATTTAGTGAGTGAGTGAATTTGAACTACCATGGGTCCCCATTTTATAGATTAGGAAACAGGTCCAGAGACAAGCAAATAAATGACCTGGCCAACCTCACTAAGACTGGAGGGTGGGGAGGTAGAAGACAAAAAGGCTTCCTTAGTGATTGAATCAGGGTGAGGAAGCCTTGGGTGGGGAGGGAGCCAGAGGCCTGGGCCCAGGAGGTGCTTGGGCCCCAGGGGGCCTTGACCACGCCTTCCCACTCTCCTAGGTTCCCAGAACACATTGCTCCTTGTTATGGCGGCTTTCTAGCTCATACATAGGACAGTCCTGTTTTTATGCATGAGAATCAAGGGCTGCAAAGCACTTTATGTAGTGTCTCAGCTGAGCCTCTCTAAAGGCAGCTCTGTGGGGGAGGGGCTGCAGGAATTAGCCCCATTTTGGAGAGGAGGAAGTAGAGCCTCCGACTGAGGAGGGGTCCCAGGATCCAACAGCTGGTGGAGTAGGATGTGACAGATGTTTGCAACCTGCATGTGGCAGACCCTTCTGGCCTGTTCCAGGCTCCCAGTGTGACCACTGATTGCCAGGAGGATTCTGATATGAGGGAGCCAGGAGAAATTTGGGGTCATTAAAAATAGATGCAACTTCCCAAAGACATCTAGTCACTCCCCTCCTCCTCCTGGTCAATTCTGGACTCGCGCATTTGCAGTGTCTATCTCAGATATAAACTGATGTCCATCCCACCTGTATGCCATAGTCTAGAGACAATGAGCATTTATCATCCACTTGGTTTTTCCCATGTGAATGGTCAGGCCAAAGTCTTTTGTGTCCCTTTGTGTGTCACACAGGACTCTGGCATAGGTGGGATGGATCTGCATCTCTGAAGATGCCATCTCTTTGGATAGAGAGCACAGGCAGATTGAAGGATTTAGGGTCAAGTGCCTCCTCAGTGATGAGCCGGCCTTCCTTGTAAAGGGCGGTTGCTGGTGGTATGAACTGGGCTTCTGCTCCAGGATTCCCAGATGCCAGGGCTGAGTGCCCATGTGCTGAATCAGATCTAAGCATGTTTCCACTGACTGCCTTGGGCTTCCTCAAGGGATTTCTCTCGGCTGGTTGTTCTGGGTATGTGGGTGCCTGGCTTCCCTTCTCCCAACCCCACCTCAAGGGTGCAGACCTTGGAGCCCAAAGATTCCTCAGGCTGAGAAACCCACAGCTCATGGCCCTGAGCTGCCCCCTTCACTGGGGAAGGGTTTGAGACTGCCCTGGGCAGGGCTCTCTGCCCACCCAAAGTCACTGGCTGCCCCCCCCACACACACACACACACTCAGCAATGCAAAGGACCCATCCTGGGAGCCTGGTAAGGCAGATGATGGGCACATCCCTTCGTCTTATAGGGTCAGGGAACCATAGAATTGCAGGCTTGCAGAGCTGAATGGGCCCTGGGGGAATGAGGCCACCTGTTCATTTTAAAGATGAGAAGCCAAGGCCTGGAGAGGAGTTGGGAGGGGCCTCCAGCTGCTGTATCTGGGGTCTTTGTGCAGGCTACTCTGAAGCAGGAGGAGGGTCATTGAAGCCATAGGACAGGGAGAGGGAGGGGAGCAGGCTGGGGGGTCCCAGGAAGTGGGAGTTCAGGTTGCTGTCTTCCAGAGAGGGTGAGTTGGATACCTGTGGGACAGCAGACAGGGTCGGTGTCTAGCCCTTGAAACACTGGCTGCCTAACCTAACCTGTCTCATGGGGAACCCGATCTCAACCCCTCAACCCCTGCATGCCAGTCAGCCTTGGACCAAGGCAATCCCAATTCCTGACCCCCCACTCAGCCAGGCCCCAGGGACCTGGTCCCAAGACCCTCATCCCCAGATACACAGGCCCATGTCTGGTCCCCAGGGCTCTTGCTCACGGTGGGCAGGTAGCGATATTCCCGGCTTTGGGCGGGGTCTATCTTAGCCAACGCCTGGATCTCAGCATCTCTTGCATTGGCTATTCTCAGGTACAGCTCAATGTGGCCAGCCTGGGACATAGGAAAGAGAGCCATGCTGAGCTGGGAGCCTCAGGGCCCAGGCTTCCCTGCACCTCCTACCTCCAGGGGCCTCAACAGACCTGAGGGATGGCATTGAGCTGCCTGGGGTGAAGGCCTGGTGCCCGGGGCAGGGCTCTCAGAGGCAGCCTCCAGTGTCCGCTCAGCACCCTCTGCTCCAGGTCAAATAGCTGGACGTTGGTCCAAGCCTGGGGCCTTGGCTCCTGGCCTCTATCCCAAAGGCCCCAAGCCTGAAGCTCTGTGACCAGGGTCACAGCCAGGGAGGGATGCAATCTGTTGGGGTGGGGGCAGGAAGAAGGACTCATCACGGTCAGTCCCAAGAACAAGGACTGGGAGCCATCCCATCTTAGGACAGATGATGCTAGACTGGGCCATGGAACCTTAGGACACTCACTGGAGTGCTCTAGAACATCAGGGTTGGTGGGAACTTGAGATTTCAGAGGATGACACTGAGGGTCAGAGAGGGCCACTGCGTTGCCCAGGGTCACTCAAGCAGGCTTGGAGGTGCTGTCACTGACCTGGGCACAGGCTGCCTAGCTGCCAGGATGGCACAGTTGCCCAGGGGAGCCCCTGGGGCGGGGGGCAGTGGCAGACAGGGACTTGGGGGTAGGGCAGTGCTGGGGCCGGTCTCCTGCCCACCCCGTGCCAGCGCCGTCACCAGCTGCACCTGTGACCACTCAGGCTCCAGTCCCAGCAGGAAGTCGTAGAATATGGCAAACCCAGCCCTGGGCAGGAGGAGGACAGAAGAGGATGTCAGAGCAGGGGCTCCCCTCCCTGTGCCCACTCCCCTCCCGCCGAGGCCACGACTCACCCTGGGTCATAAGGAGCTGGGCCCAGCACATTGGGCGGGGGCAGGAGGTGGTGGCTCTGGGCTGCAGCTCCTGTAATTTCCTGCAGCAGAGACAAGTGTACCCTCTCCAGGATGCCTTCCAGGCTGGCCTCAGCCTGGGAAGGGACAGAAGGGAGCCCTGCTCCGCAGTGGCGGGGGGGGGGGGAGACAGAGCACAGGATCTGGGATTGTCCCCCTCAGGCCAGCTTGCCCCAAATCCTCATTTTACAGTTGAGGAAACTGAGGCAAAGTGGGGTAGGAACCTGGCTCCCAACCTAGGGCCTCGTTCTTTCTGGAGTGCTCGTCCCTCCTACCACGGAGTCCTCACCATCATGCCTAGGAAAGGGCTGTCTCGGGGGGGTCCTGGGAGAGGGGGTGGCAACGGGGGAGCCACAGGGGGTGGCCGGCGGGCACAGCCTCCTCTTCCTCTCCAGAGCAGACCAGTCCCCTCCTTGGGCTGGGGCTCCCACGGGCCTGAGGGCAGAAATGAGGGGTCTGAAGGCCCTGAATCGGCTCCCGACATCCTCTCTGGTGGAGCCACAGAGGTCAATGCCCGCACAAAAGGTCCCAATGACCCTATTTTACAACTTTTTACAAACGGCTCAGAGGTCACAGAGGGAGAGCTAATGAGGTGTCGCACCTGCCTGGCCCAGGGGCCCAGAGAGTGAGGGCTGGGGGCAATGCCGGGGAAGCAGCTCCCTGCCCCCCAGCAGGGCCTGGCACGATGCAATGCCTTCCCTTGGGCCGAGGCTCTTGGATTCGCTCCCTCTCGTCTCCCCAGGGACAGTCTAATCTCCAGGAGAGCAGGGAACCTGCTCGTTCTATTTTTTCCTGTTCCTGTGCCTGGCACATGATAGGCACTTTATTAATGTTTGTTGATTGAAAACACAGACAGAGCATAAAATCCTAGATTGAGAACAGAAAGTGGGGTGAGGTCACCGAGTCCAACTCCATTTTACAGAAGACAGCTGGAGGGTCTGGGGCAGGATTTGAGCCCAGGTCTCACACTTCACCCAAGTTTGACTGGGCCCCTCTCCCCACCTCTGGGGATGGAGCTGGAGAGAAGATGAAGAAGAGGAGGAGGAGGAAAAGGAGGAAGAAGAGGAAGAGGAAGAGGAGGGAGAGGAAAAAGAGGAGGAGCCCCAGGCCTGGGCCTGGGCCTGCGAGAGCTCTGGGTTGCCGGAAGAGGCCACACTCACACAGGGAGCTGCCAGCTGACCAGTGAGGGGAGGGCTCCAAGCAGACCCAGCTGCCCATCCCCCAGGTCCTGCCTCTCCACTCCCCAGAAATTCCAGGCCACAGGTTCCCTCCCTGGGTCTCCAGGCCCTGGGGGAGGCTCTCCTTCTCCCCCTCCAGGAATCCAGACAGATCCGGGGTCTTGGAGGGCATCTAGTGCAACCCCTACATTGTACAGATGATCAAACTGAGGCCCAGAGTTGTCTTCCCCGATCTCCACCCTTCATCCAGTGACAATGGGTCCTTCCCCGATGTCCTGGGGCACCCTGGCTGGGCTCCCTTCTTTCTGCCCCCCCACCCCCCCACCCAGAGACTGTCGGCTCCTAGAGGGCCTGGACTTTCCATCCTTTGGGCCAAGCACAGGGTGGGGATTCCTTTCGTTGAGGTGACTTGCCAAGGTCACATGGGAACAAACAAGAGAGACAGAATCTGAACCCAGGTCCTGGCCCTCCTCTTCTAGGTCTCTCTCAGAAGTCTTTGACAGCCTGTCTTGACCTTAGCGTTGGGGAGCTTGAGATCTGCTTGGGGAAGCCACACTCTCAGGGCTTGGGACAGTGGCCCCCTAGCTCAGAGCCCTCTGGGCCACATGGCACTTGGCTGGACCCTGCCACCATCTTCAGCCAACAAGGAGGGGGGAAAGTGCTCCTGGGCAGGCTCTGACTTAGGGGTGGCTCTTGTAAGGAGGGGACCAAACCCAGGGAGGCTGCGGGAAGGAGGGTGGGGGAGGGCAAGTATGCCAACATGTAGCCTTCTTCTGACACTGGCTAGCTGGATGACCCTGGACAAGTCCCTGAACCTCAATTTCATCCTCTGTAAAATGCGGTGAAAATGCTGGACCAAATGGTAGGGATAGGGACTGAACCCTCTCCCAGGAAAGGAAATTCCTTCTACCAACACAGGTCAGCAACTTCTCTGCAACTCTGAGCCTTAGAGAGCTGTTGAGAGCACTGTGAGGAAGGAGGAAAGGAAGGAGGAAAGGGAGGAAAGAAAGGAGGGAAGGAAGGAAGGAGAGAAGCGAGGGAGGGAGGAGGGAAGGAAGGAGGGAAGGAAGGAAGGAAGGAAGGAAGGAAGGAAGGAAGGAAGGAAGGAAGGAAGGAAGGAAGGAAGGAAGGAAGGAAGGAAAGGAGGAAAGGGAGGAAGGAAAGGAGGGAAGGAAGGGAAGGAAAGAGGGAGGGAAGGAAGGAGGGAAGGAAGGAGAGAACGGAGGGAGGGAGGAGGGAAGGAAGGAAGGAGAGAACGGAGGGAGGGAGGAGGGAAGGAAGGAGGAAAGGGAGGAAGGAAAGGAGGGAAGGAAGGAAGGAAGGAAGGAGAGAATGGAGGGAGGGAGGAGGGAAGGAAGGAAGGAGAGAAGGGAGGGAGGGAGGAGGGAAGGAAGGAGAGGAGGGAGGGAGGAGGGAAGGAAGGAAGGAGAGAAGGGAGGAAGGGAAGGAAGGGAAGGAAGGAGAGGAGGGAGGAGGGAAGGAAGGAGAGGAGGGAGGAGGGAAGGAAGAAAGGAAAGACGGAGAGGAGGGAGGAAGGAAACAAACATTTATCAAGTACCTACTACGTGCCCAGCACTGGGCTAGGTGCTTTTATAAATAACCCATTTGATCCTCACAACAAACTTGGGTGGTACTATTATCCTCATTTTACAGTTGAAGAAACTGAGGCAGACAGATTAAGGATCACACAGCTGGTGTCTGAGGCTGGATTTGAACTCAGGTCTTCCTGATCTGTAGACACTGTGCCACCAGCTGAGGGTCATGCACATAGGAGGTGTCAAAGGCAGAATTTGAGCCTGGGTTCACGTTCCTGACTCTGTTGCCTCACTGAGACAGCAGGGTTAGCGGACAGAGCTCTGGGCCTGGATTTGGGAAGACCTGGGCCCAAATCCCAGCCCCGTCACTTCCTGGCTGTATCAATCATTCAGTCCACAAGCATTTATAAGCACCTGCTATGTGCCAGTCACTGTGCTAAGCACTAGACTTACAAAGAAAGGCACAGAAATGGTCCCTGGCCTCCGAGAGCTCACAGCCTCTGTAAGGAACTCGGTATTTACAAGCTGTGAGCAGTGTAACTGGGAGGGGGACGTGAAACGCCAGCCAGTGCTGGAATAGGAGCCACTGGGGAAGCGTCAGCCTCAGTTTGCTTGTCAGTAAAATGGGTGCAGTACTTGATTACAGGACACCTCTGGTGACAGGGAGCTCACTCCCCATTAGGGTTGGAAGTGGTCTCAAAGACGCCCCCCACCCCGCCTGCCCCAATTCTCTCTCCCTTCCTGCCCTGGCCAGCTGTGCATTGCTTTCCATGAGTCCCTTGGTAGGGATGCCTGACCAGAAGAGTGCAAACCTACCCCAGGGACCTCAGGGATCTGGGTGCCTGAGCACTCACCCTGCCAGGGCTTCTGGGGTCCTCTCTGCATCTGTAGGGCCAGGATTTCAGTCTCCAAGTGGCCGTTAACAGCTTCTAGGGCCTGCAACTGTGTGTCTAGCGTTTGGGGTCCAACAGCGGCCTTCCCTTCTGTGGACCAATGAACTCTGACCCCCTCTGGCTTCCCCAAACCTGTTTCGCTAGGGACAAGTTTTTGTAGGCCTCTCTGCCTGCTTGGGCTGGAGTTCCAGGGGTGCACCTCCCCAGCTCGAGCCTTCCATGTCTCCCGAGGACCCATAAGGTGAAGGACACAGAATCGCCCCCTGGCCCTTGGCCGAAGGTCCCCAGTGAGGGGAACCTCACTCTACTCCAAGGCAGGCCTCTCCAGGCCATCATGACAAGCCTCCCTCTGGGATACCCTTCCCAGCTCCCATCGGGGCTGGGCCCCTAGGCAGCCTCAGCACGGGGTCCTGGGGCTCACTCACGTCTCTTCTGAGTCCTCCCTTCCAGCAGCGCAGCCTCAAGGTGCAACTCCCATATCTTGGCCAGGACTCCGGGGTCTCTGCCCCCGGCTTGGAGGTAGGATGTCTGTAGGGCCCTGGGCAAGAGGAGGGGAGGAGAAGAAGGCTGCTGAAGGCCTCTCAGTCCCTGCCCAGGCCCCCACCGAGGGGAGATGGCAGAAATCACTGTGGGAAGAGCAAAAGTTTGATCTGGGATCAAAGGACCTGGGTTCAAATCTTGGACAAGGATAGTGCTGGGGAAAGAACCCTGGCTGTGGAGTCAGTGGACCTGGGTTCAAATCCCATTTCTAACCATCTGGATGACCTAGGGCAAATTCATTCTTTTCCCTGGGCCTCAGTTTCCTTATCTGCCAAATGGGGGGGGGTTGGACTAGTTGTCCCTGCCTGTGTGATTCTTGGCCCCTTCCCCTCTCTGGGCCTCAGTTTCTTATTTATTTATTCATTCATTTTGGTGCGGCAATCAGGGTTAAGTGACTTGCCCAGGGTCACATAGCTAGTAAATGTCAAGCATCTGAGGTCAGAGTTGAATTCAGGTCCTCCTGACTCCAAGGCCAGAGCTCTATCCACTGACACATCTAGCTGGCCCTGGGCCTCAGTTTCTTCACCAATACAATGAGGAGGAAGTTGGGTTCCATCCATGTTCTTTGTCTGGGAGTCCAGGGGCCTGGGTTCCTGGGAAAGGATCCTGGTCTTGCCCTCAGAGGCCACTGGACTCAATGCCTTCAGTTTATAGGGCGGGAAACTGAAGCCCAAGTAGGGGAAGGGACTTTCCCACGTTCAGGGAGCGGAGACAGGATGCAAACCCAGGTGCTCCGATCCTAAAGCCAGAGAGAGCTTTGGGAACCCGAGTGAGCCAGGCCCAGGCTCACCTCCTCCCTGCCGGGTCTGCCCTGGCCCTGCTGTGTGTCCTTAGGCCTCTGCCTTCCCCTCTCTCATGGCAGTTCTAGGACCCCTGACACAAGCAGCAGGCTTGGCCTCCACCGGGCCTCTGGTCTCACCGAATCTCTGAAGTCAGGACCCCTTGACTGGCTGGTAGGGCTAAGAGGCTGAGGCTGAGCCCTTGCTCCTCCTTCCTCACTGATGGAAGATCTGGCTGAGTCCTGGCAAGGAAGAAAGCAGGCTACGGGTTACAGGGGTCGGCCAGGCCCCAACCCTCTCCCCACACCCCCTGTGAGCACCTTCTTGCCTGCACTTTCGGGCCTTGACCCCCGGTGAGGGGGAGAGGGGCTCACCATGCCTGCAGTTTCTCTACACGCTCCCCAAGAGCGTCCAGAGCCTGCTGCGTTCTCTTCTCCTGGGCCTGGATCGCCAGCATCACCTGCCCCAGGACGCTGGCGCCAGCATCGCCCCCAGCCAGACCCCCAAGCTGCTGCCTGATCTCTGCATGGGGGGAGGAGGGCATAGCTGGCAGCTAGCCCTCCCAGCCCCAGCACAGACCCAGACTCCCAGTAACTAATGGGATGGGACTTGGCTTCTCCCCTGTGCTCAGAGCCAGCCGGGAGGGTCAGTCCTGGGGGACTTCGTCCCCCTCCATCCCCTCCGTGTCCCAGTCCTAGCCATACCCTCCTGATGCTTCTCCAGGCTCCGAGTTCGGGCCCCGATCTGTGCCAGCCGATGAGCGTAGGCTGCTTCCAGGTGTGCCCGGGACCCTACAGTGACCTGAAGAGGGGAGAACTGACCCCAGGCAGGGCAGCATCCCCCTTCCCTGCCTGGGCCTGGGGATCTTGGCATCCCAGGGCTCTTCTGGGGACTTGGGGCTCCTCTAGCTCATCCCTTCCTAATAGGGCATCGTGGTCCCGGCCTCCTAGAGACCCTCGCCGAGGGCCACAACCACAGACAGCCAGGCATGAATAGAGCCCTGGACCTGGAGTCAGATTAAGTTCCAATGCCACCTCGGACAATAGCTATGTGACCCTAAGTACACCCTTTACTTCCCTGGCCTCAGTTTCCCCACCTTTAAAATGGGGGTTGGTCTCAAAGGGCTTTCCTGCTCCAGAGCTAGGATTCTCTGATCCTCACCTTCTGGGGAAAGGCCATGTCTTGCAGAGATACCCGAAGATTTTGAACCTGGGGGAGGGGGAAAGGGGAGCCTGTTGGCTCTGTCCTGGGGCTCTGTGGGAGTTGAGGAGGAGAGACAAAGACAGGGACAGAGCTGAGATGAAGAACGCCAGAGGCAGACAGAAACAGGAGAGATGGAGATCAAGGGGAGAGCAAAGCTGACAGAGGCAGAGGCCCACATAGACTCGGGGAGCCCTCAAGAGCCCTTCTGGGGCTGCGGGTTTGGGGAAAGGGCATTGTCCCTCAGGCACCTCATCTGTTAGCCTCTTCAGGGCCGCTCCGCTGGATTCCCCCTGGCCTGGGGCTTTCCTGGGGGTCTCCTGTTGATCCTCAGGCTGGTGTGACTGGCCCTGGAAACAAGATCCAGGCTGAGGGGCCATGAGGCCCTGCCTGGATCCCATCCCTGGAGGAGTCAGGGGTCCTGGGAGAAGGCAGAGGGAGCTGGACACCCTCCCCATATCTCTAGGCCAATTAGGAGCTACAGGGATGGGAGGGCTCATGGGGGCTCACTGGGCTGCCACTCACCTCTCTGTTCAGTGGGAGGGAGGCTGAGGGCTGGCCAGGGCTCTTCCTTCGGCCCCTGGGTATCCCTGGAGTAAGGTGGCCAATGCAGAAGCGATAGGCGTGACTGTCCCGGAGAGTCCTCGAAGGGAAAACCATGTCACAGGCTGAGCAAGGAAACAAACCTGGGGTCCCCTGCTCCCCTGGCTCCTCTGGGCCTGATGCCATCTCTGTGCCAGCTGCCTAGAGAGAGAGACAAGGAGAGACACACAGAGGCAGGGAGAGAGAGACAGAGGCAGAGACAAGGAGAGACACACAGAGGCAGGGAGAGAGACACAGAGACAGACAGAGACAAAGAGAGACACTCACAGAGGCAGGGAGAGACAGAGAGACACAGAGAGACAGCAGCCAAGATTCACAGACCCACAGAACCTGCACGCTGGAAGGCTCAGACATGAAGAAGGAATAGCCAGACAGGAGGGAGAAAGCAGAGGCAGAGACAAAGAAGCAAACCTAAACGGGGAGGCCAGGGAAGCCAGAGTGTGTTGGAAGGGGCCAGGCCTGATATGGCTACCCTAGGTGGAGCCTGGTTACTAGGCTGAGCCCAGGGGCTGGTGCCTGAGCCAGGCTGGGTCTCCAAGGCCTCCTGTTTGTGTTTGGGGCCAAGACTCTGGTGCCCGGCAACCCTGGCAGAGGGTAGGGCACTGGGAGTGAGGCTGGGCCCAAGTTTCAGCCACCATCTCGTTGAGGGGGCCTTCTCCAGCACCACTCTCCCCTGGCTTTCCTCCTATTTCTGACTATTCCCTCTGCTTCCTCCTCATGCTCTCTCCAAATCCTCCTTCCCCACCCAGGGTCTCTCCTCTGTTCTCCCTTGGGGAGTCTCAGGGCCTCTCTCAAATCTGTGCCCAGTTCCAACACTGAATTCTAGACTTGGTCATTCTTGAAGTCACCACCTTTCTCCTCTAAACTTAACTCATCCTCCCAACTTTTCTGTTTCTCCCCATGGCATTCCTACTTTCCCAATCATGGTCCCTCTCTGAACCTCAGCTTCCTCTTCATTTATAAAACAAGCACCAGATTTAGATCCTGGGCCTAGATCATAAGGCCCTGTTCAGTGCCGCCCATCATGATCCACCTCCCATTTGACTGTGTGCCTACCAGCCCGTACAGCTCATCTCCTGCCTGATCCCCAGCCTCCCTTGGGAGGAGCGGCCCCTTCGTTCAGAGATCAACGTACTCACACCTTGGTATTCAATTCCAGTGATTCTCAAACCCTGTAGGTAAAGTCCAAGCCCCATTTCCTAACCCCCACCCCTGGATTCCTTATTCCTATCCCCTTTAAGCCTTCCTCCCCAAAGTCCCAACCAGGTACAATTCACTCCTTCTACTGTGCCCTCTGGAATACTTGCTTCACAAGCCACAAACCTGTGTTCATCTTACATCTTTTCCCCTCTCACTCTTCCCATCTCTCGGCCATCACTGAGACCTGGCTCCCACCTGATGCTACAGCCTCCCGGGCCTTCCTTTTCAGTCCTAGCTGCATTTTCACTCATATCCCTTGGATCACTGGTTGAAGCAGGATGCTTGTGTGCGTGTGCGTGTGTGTGTGTGTGTGTGTGTGTGTGTGTGTGTGTGTGTGGTGTGTACATGGCATGTGTCTGTGTGTGTATACGTATGTGCGTGCGTGTGTTTGTGTGTGCACGTCGAGGGAGGAGAGGGAGTTGGAATACTTCTTGCTCCCCTCTGCCATTTCCAGGTTCTTCCTCTCCCTCCATAACTCGGTAACTTCTCCTCCTCCTGTAAAGTCCACATCTTCCATATTGTCCACCTAATCAAAATCCTGCTGGTTATTGTCTATAGACCTCCAGGTCACTCCTCTTTCTTCCTCAATGAGTTCAGTGCCTGACACATTTTTTCTCTCCTTCCCAATTAGGGCACTTCAACGTACACCCTGACTCTCCCTCAAACATCTGAACTACTCAGTTCCTCAACGTACTCATTTTCCATGACCTACTTCCTCTACCTCAGCCTCACACAAATGTACCCCCGTGTTTAATAATTCCAAAATTCCCTCATCTGACCTTCATCTGTCGGCCTCTCCTTCTGCCTTCTCATACCAAGCCCTCTTGGTCCACATCTCTCAGATATGTCTACTTTTCTCCTCCGACCCTGCCACCACCTTGGGGCAGGCTCTTATCAACTCGTGCTTGGACTAGCACAATAGCCAGAATCTTCTCCTTCATCCCCCTCTCACACGAAGAGGTGGCCCTATTCTTTACCAAGGAAAACCCTGCACAAGAGATCCTATTCCATACCATCTCTTTCAACAGACTACCTCTGCCATCCCCTACTCACACTTAAGTCAAATCAAGAAGCGTTTATTAAATTCCTACTGTGTGTGAGGCCCTGTGGTGAGAGGATACAAACAAATGCAAAAGAATTCTTGCTTTCAAGGTGTTGACAATATCATGGGAGAGACAACATGTAACTACAGTGAGTTCTGCCCTAACAGGACATGTTATCACTGAATTATACACAATCTTGCAGTAAAAATCTCAGAGCTTATGGGAGAAAATGGGTTTAGGGGCACAAAACACAAAACCTTCAACAGTGAAGTATAAACAGATGAGAAGCTAATAAGAATGATAACATAATCTTATACACATTAAGTAGTAAAGAAATACGTAAATGTGGCAGCTAGGTGGTGCAGTGGATAAAGCTCTGGCCTTGGAGCGAGAAGGACCTGAGTTCAAATACCACCTCAGACACATGACACTAAGCTGTGTGTCCCTAGGCAAGTCACTTACCCCAACTGCCTCACCAAAAAAAAAAAAAAAAGGAAATGCGTAAATAATGGAGGTGTCTGAGGCCTCAGGCTGTTGCTTGGCTTGTGGCCCAGCATAGCAAAGCTGAGTCACTGAAGATGAGAGGGCGTCCTCAGTGGGTTGGAACTAGGGCCAGGAGTATGATACATAGTGGAAGATATGGGTTGGCCTGGCTCCCTTCCTACTGCACCAGAAAGATATGCACTCACTAAGGCACTTTGTCTTACAAAACACCTGAAGTTTCTTTGGGTGTTGGAAGATCTGAAGTTCGTATGTTATTGTGAAGTGGTGCTGTTACCTGTTTTCTCTCACAGTTTCTTGCAAATGAAATTGTGCACAAACACAGAATTTATATTATGGCCAAATTTTGGTGGAACAAACTCCCATTTAAAAAAAAGCATTATAGAACTATGTACAAATAAGACATATGTATATATATATATAGGAGCAATATCATGTGTGTTATATACACGCTAACATTCTGTGATGTTAACGTTATAGCTTACACAGTTAATCGCCAGAGGGCAGGCAGGCACTAGAATTAAGGGGTGTCACGAGAGGTGGGGTGTTAGCTGAGACCTGAAGCTGGGGAAGCTGGAGGCAGCGAGGAGAAGGGAGAGTATTCCAGGCTTGGGGGGCAGCCAGGGAAAATGCCCGGAGCTGGGAGATAGAGGACCTATATGAAGCACAGTAGGGAGGCCCGAGTCATTGGATTACCAGAGCATGAGGAGGGTGGGAGGTATAACATGGGAAAGGTAGGAAAAGTCATTGTTTTCTTGCTCCTCTAATTTGCTTATGACGTGAACTTTTGCATTTGGGTCATGGAGCCATTCGGAGTACATCTTGGTCTATGATGTAGTGTTGTTCTAAAATGAATTTCTGCCAGACTTCTAGCCAGTTTTACGCAGACGAGTTTCCCATCCCCCTCTCCCCCATTAGCAGTCTCCGGGTTTATCAAACACCGTGCTTTTCTTTTCCTTTTGAATCTTCTGCATCCAGTCTGTTTTCTTTGAAATGAGTATTAAAAAAAAATACTGCTTTTGTAGTTCGGTTTGGGATGTGCTACTGACAGACCTTCACTCCTCCTTTTAAAATTTCCCTTGAGATTCCTGACTTTTTTCCCTCTATATGAATTTTACTACTATTTCTAGCTCCACAAAATATTCCTTTGGTGGTTTGGTATATAGCACTGGGCAAGTAATTTAATTTAGGTAGTACTGTCATTTTTATTATATTGGCTCCATTTAGGTACATCTTTATGTGTGCAAAGAGTGTTTTACAGTTGGATTCATATGGTCTCTGGGTGCACCTTGGTAGAAAAATTCCAAAATATTTGACATCCTGCAATTTTGCTGAACTTAAAGAGTTTCAGTTAAGTTTTTGGTTGACTTTTTTTTTTCCTCTTTATTTTTTAAAAAAATTCGGTATTTTGTTTTTTCCCCAGTTACATGTAAGGTTGACTCTTGAGCAGGGTTTTCCAAGTAAGTCTGTATTATCATAGGCAAAAAAGTAATTTTGTTTCCTCTTTGCCTTAGCTTATTCCCTCAATTCCTTTTTTGGTCTAACTTCTAGAGCTTACATTTCTAGCGCTATGTCAAGTAGTCATGATGACTGGCATCCTTGCTTTATCCTTATCTTATTGGAAAAAGTCTAACTCTTCTCCATGATGTTTGCTTTTGGTTTTAGCTAGATATTATTCATTGTACTGAGGAAAGGAAGGAAAGAAAGAAGCAACCACTTATTAGGCATCCACTACATACCAGACACTATGCTAACTATTTGATCCTCACAACAATTCTAGCAAGTAGTTACTATTATTACCTTCCCCATTTGGAAACTGAGGCAAACAATAATTGACTTGCCCAGCTAGTAAATGTCTGAAGCCAGATTTGAATTTAGGTCTTCCTTACCTGTGGCTCAGCACTCTATTCAGTGTACCACCCAGCTGCCTCTGGAAAAGCCCATTTGTTCCTATGATTAGAATTTTTAAAGTAGACGCTGCGTTTTGTCAGAAGCCTCTTCAGCATCCATTGATCTATGTTTTCATATTGTTAACATGTTTTATGTTTATAGTATTCCTTTTGTTGAACCAGCCCTGCATCCCTAGCATAAATTCAATCTAGTCAGAGTACATCATCTTTAATCAATGTTCACTTGGGAATTCTGTTCTAGATTTCTTTCTCTGCCTTGTCTCTCCCTGGTTTAGGTATCAAGACCGTACTGGTGTCATAGATATTGGAAGGATGCTCTCTTATTGCAAACATTTTATGTAGAATTGGAAATGATTGTTCCTGGAATGTGTGTGAAAATTCCTTTGTAAATCCAACTGGTCCTAGAGTTATTTCTTTGGGAGTTCATATTGCATTATTTAAAGTCCTTTTTCTTTGGTTATTCTGGGCATTTCATATTTCTTCTAAGTATTCATTAATTTCCTCTAAGTTATCAATTTGTTAGCATATAATTGGGCAAAATTGTTTCTAATAATTTCCTTGATTTCTCCAATTGCTGATTTCTCCATTTTCATTTTTAACAGGGAACAATATACATTTCATCTTTTTAGGAAAAGTCAGATTAGCGGTTTATTACTTTTTTTAAAAAGCCTGTAGTTTTATCAAATTTATGGTTTTTGATTTCAATTTTATTGATTCCTTCTTTAATTTTCAAAAATTCTACTAACTGGAGTTTATTTTGTTCAAGCTTTTAAAATTGCATGCCCAATTCACTGATTTGTTCTTTCTTGTTTTAAAGTGTTTAGAGACGTACATTTCCTTCCCAAGAATTGCTTTAGTTGCATCCTGTAAGTTTTGGCATTTTGTCTCATTATTCTAATTTTCATTAATGAAATTCTCCATCATCCTCTTCCTCATCCCCAGCAATTAGGTATACAGAGCAGTAGGCCTGAAGTTAGAAATGACCTGAGTTCAAATCCACCCTTAGACACTTATTAACTATATGATCCTGGGCAAGTCACAACCTCTGTCTCAAGTTTCCTCATCTGTAAAATGGGTATAATAGGATTGTGAGGATCAGATGAATTAATTATAAAGCACTTGGCACATAGTGAAAGCTATATCAATCTTAGCTACTACTATAACTTGTTCTTTGAGTCACTATTCTCAAATTACTTTTTAATTCTTTAAGGATCTTCTATTGAATGTATTACATTAGTAGTAGATGTATTTAGCATTTCTGCTTTTCTATATTCATGCCCTAAAACATGGCCAATTTTTGTAGAGGTGTTATATAGTTATGAGTTATTCAGTAAATGCTAGAGCACTAACTAGTGCCTCTAACTTTTCAAAAGTTTTATTCATATATTTAACCATTTTCTTTTGGTTAATTTATCTGGATCTGAAAGGTACGGTTGCAGATTGTGTAGGCCTGGTATACATACGTTGAAGGCCCTCACTGTTACAGTTTTAGTATTTATTTCTTGTTCTAATTTGAAACACTTCTTCACGTATTTAGATGCAATGCCATTAGGAGTGTGCTGACACTGACTTATTATCTACGGTACCTTCAAGTACAACATTTCCCTGTTTATCTATTTTTTTTTTTGGTGAGGGAACTGGGGTTAAGTGCCTTGTCCAGTGTCACACAGTAAGTCTTAAGTGTCTGAGGCCGGATCTAAACTCAGATCCTCCTGACTCCAAGGCCACAGCTCCATCCGTTGTACCACCTGGCAGCTGTCCCCCTGCTAAGTATCTATTTTTAACACGTATTTTCCTATTCAGCCTTATCTGAAAACATATTTGCCACTCCTGCTTTTTTGAGTTCAGCTGAAGCAGGATAACTGTATTCCAATCCCTCCTTCTAGCTCTATGTGAATCTTAGTGTTTGAAGTGTGTTTTTTGTAAACAACATGCTATCAAATTGTTTTCTAATCCATTCTACCACCCTCTTCCACTTTACAGACGAGTTCACCCCGTTCACATTCAGAGTTACAGCTGTTCGATGTGCACTTCTCTCCAGACTGTCACGATAAGGTACCCTTTCCTCCCATGTGCCTCTTTACAGATAGGAAGATGGTTACAAAGGGAGCGTGTGCTTCACCTGTGGGATCTACAGATGAAAAGGCTTATTTCCTCTCCTCCTCCCTACCGCAGGTCTTTATTATTCCCTTCCTTTTACGATCCCCCTCTACCTCTCTCTCTAAAACTTGAGCTGGTTTTGCTCGATTATTCCCTTACCTCTCGCCACTGCTCTGACATTCCTCTTCTCTGTCCTTTGTCCCTGCTCTCTCCCCTTTCTCTTTTGAGTTGAATGGATTTCTATACTGAAACCTCTGAACGTGAGGGTGTAATTGTGTTTAGTCTCCATCCTTTGCCCAGTTCAGGTGAAAGTGAGTCTCACAGGATGTCTTCCTCCAGGACTATCCCACCCTTTGCTCCACTCTTCCCCAGGAGAAGGCCTCTCAGAAGCAATGTATGATCTTAAGGTATCTAGAGGAGCAGAGCCAAGATGGTGGAGTGAAAGCAGCGACTTGCTTGAGCTCTCCCCCAAACCCCTCCAAATACCTATAAAAATGGCTCTAAACAAATTCTAAAGCAGCAGAACCCACAAAAACACAAGAGCGAAGCAAATTTCCAGCCCAAGACAACCTGGATGGTTGATCAGAAAGGTGTATTGTGCTGCGCGGGGAGAAGAACGCAGTGTGGCGTGGGTACGCAGGCTGCAGCAAACCTGGAGCAGGCCTCAGAGGACTGAATCTTGGGCAGCTGTGGTGGTTTCCAGACTTCTCAACCCACGAATGCCAAAGACAACTTAGGTGAGTGGGAAAAGTCTGTTTCTGCAGTACTGAGAGAGGAATGCAGGGTCTCGGCTCCATTCCCCAAGAGCGTGGCGCTGGGGGGCAGCTACCTCCTGAGCTTCTGGCCCATAGACTGAAGGGGAATCCAGTGGCTAATCAGAGGGGGGATTGCAGGGATCTCTTTGCCAGTGCTAAGGCAGGAATTTCTTGCTTTGCCCATGCTTGGATCTGGGTCACAGTTCTGGGTGGTGGCGGTCCTGGGGCGAGGAGAAGCACTGGCGTGGTAGAGATTGTAGTGCCTGTGGAGAAACCCTCCCCACAGTTCCAGGACAGAAAGGAGTGCTCGTGATCACTAATAGAGGAGAGCACAGGCCAGGAAATGAGTAAACACCTCGCCCCTTATCATACCACCTTGCAAGAAATGAAAATTTACAGGTCCTTGACAGTATCTCCGAAAACAGCTGTACAGACCCCCGAAGCTTGGGACAGTATATTCTCCACATTGGAAGCAGACTCTTACATTAACAAAGAGTTTAAAACTCAAGTAATTGGCCTGGATCAGGAGCAAGCAGTGCAGAAAGAGTCAGACCATATTATCTTATTTTGGTGACAAAGAAAATCAAAATATACAACCAGAAGAAGACAACAAAGTCCAAGCTCCTTAGGGTCTCTGGAGTCTTCCTTGATCTCCTCCTCTTTTCCACTTCACTATCTCGGCTGGGGGAGGTGGTGGTGCTTTGGACTCAGCTCAGTAACTGAACAGAACAGGCAGGGCTGGACCTCTCTTGAGTGCGGTGGCTAAGACTCAAGACTCCTTCCAAGGACTATGGGCTGGGCTCTGCCTGGGGGCTCTCTCCTATCCCACAGCACTGGGGCTTCCCTGAGTCAGGCTCTGACTAGGGTCCTCCCTGAATCCTTTGCCCCTGCTCCCTGGGCTCCCACCAGAGACTTCAGAGACGCTTTGGCCTAGCCTTTGCTTTTGGGATGGTCTCGCCTTCTTCTGGAAGGAGGGTAGTAGACTCCACCTGGCACTCTCTCCTTTCTGCTGGGCTCTTGTCCCCCCCCCCCAGATTCCCTTCTGTGGATCCCAATCCTGGGTGGATGTGTTCAGGGGCTTCTTACTTCTTACAGACACAAGGGTGTTTGTGATGTTTCTGTGCATCTCTACATTCTGGCAAACCAGTGAGAGGGTGTTTTCTCACCTGAGTTGCCTCTTATCAACGAAATCACGTCTGGACCAAAAGATCCCTCAAACCTGTGTACATCTTCTGGATCAGAATGGAATCTCTTTGCAGGCAGGGAGAGCTCAGAGCCTAGTCCAGTGCCTGGTACAGAGTAGGTGCTTCAAATTCAACACAGTGGGGTTTTTAATCCTTTTCCTTCCATTGGTGGTCATAAGGAACTTTTTGGCACTACTCAGGTCTTTGGCTTTCTTGCCTGGGAGAAAAGAAACCAAGAGTGTTTATTCTGCCACAAACAAAAACCAAGTAAAATGAGCATTTCCACAAAGGAGAACAGAAAAAGGAGTTTGCACAGGAAAACATGACTCTCTCTTACAGTTTGCTTTTCTTTTTAAGTCTCTAATAAATCCACCAGGCAACTCTTGAAGCCATCCTCGTCTATTTGCTTCTGCTCTCTTCTACATGATAAGATTTTCTTCAATACTTCTCTTTTCTTCTTATTTGGCAACCTTATCAATGTCTCCCTTTTCAACTCATTCCCTATTGAAAATCAAAACCAAACCCAATATCTTGGTAACACACTGCCATTGTCTCACAGGCATCATACCCCAAGACGGGCCATGCTCGCCGCACTTCATGGAACTCTGCACAGGGGCTGGTCTTTCAAAGCTCTCGTATGCCGTGGTCACCGCCTGGGTCACTCCTCCAGTTTGGCTCATTTCATTCTGCGTCAGTCCATACAGGTCTTCCTGGCTTTCGTCCTGCCTTTGTGGGATTTGGACTTTATTTCTCCTTTCCTAACTCAGCTCCAGATATTTCTACATCTGACACTAGCTGCAAGAATGGGCATATGGCTTAATTTCTTGGAGCCTCAGTTTTCTCATCTGTAAACGGAATAATAATAGTGCCTACCTCCCAGGGTTGTTGTGAAGATCAAACGAACCGACCCAAAGCATTCTGACAACCTGAAAGCCCTATAGAAATGTTAGCTATTATTATTAATAATAGAGGAAAACTGGAAAGGCAAGCTTCAACCAAATTTAAAGAAAAATTCCCTATGTAAAGTGGAATGAGCTGCCTTGAGAGATAGTGGATTTCCCTGTACTGGGAGTCCTCCAAGCAGAAGCCGGAGGACCACTTTTGGGGTGGGACAGTGGAGACCCTTTCAAGTACACAGTGGGGTGGAGAATCTGGGGGTGCCATCCTTTCTGGCTCGGAGTCTGTGGCTGTTCATTGCTCAAAAAGTCTCCAATGGGAAGCCTTTCCTGATTTACCAGGGTCCCCTCTGACCTCACGTTGCCCCTCCTTGGTGTCTGATGCCAGGGTCCTCTAACCAGCTCCATGTGCCAGTACTGTCAGCTTTAGGAGGGCCAGCAGGGCCTTTGTCTCATCTAAACCCAGCATTTCCCCAAGGGTTCACTGGGGATTCTGCATGCAAGGATATTTATGCCTTCATGACGCACTGCCACCCCCCACCCCAAAGCAATGAGGCTTCCAAACCACCCCTCCATCCTATCCCTTGGCTGAGCTTGTGAGACCCACAGGCAGAAGGGCAGGCCAGGACACATCCTGAAGGCCCAGGCTTCAAGAAGTAATGGTTCCTGGGGGCCCAGCAGCCCCTGCCAACACAGGCTGTCTGGGTGTGACTTATGGAGACTGGGAACTGCGACTAAGCCCACGAAAAACGTCCCAATAAAGTGTGATATGAAGCAAACTATCAATGCCAGACACCTTCTGCTGAACATGGAGAAAGGGGAGCGTGTGAGCATGTGTGTGGTACTCCAGGGTGGGGAATAGGCTGTGGGGAGCAGAGCCCAAGCCTGGCCCCTTTATTCCAGAGGCAATGGCTGGGCAAGTACCAGAGGATGCTGGAAAAAGAAGTGATGAAAGGCCTATAACGTCACCACACTGAGACACTGAGGAGCCATATCAGCTTCCACCACCAAAGGAAAGAAAGGTGTTTGGCAAAAAACCTAAGATCTGCCCCCAGACTGATAAACTAACAGCACCACCAGAAAAGAATTGGGACCACTTCCCTTAAAACCAAACTCTCACACAAGAAGGACAATTCCAATTGGCAAACTGATGCAAAATATTTATTCCAAGTTAGTTATTTTTGATGCAGTAGTTTTTCCCCTTATACAGACTCATGTGATAACCACTTTTTAAAATCTGTAAATAATGTTATCAAAATAATCTTAATCTTTGAAATCTCACAAAAATTTATATTTTACAATCCACCCTGAATATCAAGGCTGCAAGAAGAACACAACAATTCCTATATCCAAATATTTTACAGCTGTACCCAAAAAGGAAAAAAGGAAACCCACAAATGCTTGGTTAAGTGATGAAAGCTGCCCGAGCCGCCAAAAATGAAAGAAAATTAAAAATCCATGTTATTTGCATTAATTTAACACAATTATAACTTCCATAGTCATTTTGTCATTGACAATGATTGTTTGAGCACATTGTGAGTAGCCCCGGGCTCCCGAGGACCCAGGGCAGGCAGGGGGGGCTGGCTGGGGTGGGCGGGGCTGCATTAGAAAGCTATGGCTGCCAAAGTCCGGCTCTTGTTCACTTCTGCCACCAGCTCTGTCAACACATTTATTGTCCTACACACACAAGCTGCACACAAACTTGTGTGTATGTGTGTACTTATATATTTATTTTATTTTTTTGTCACAAATTTCCCACCTATACAAACTTGCCTCTATTAAGCATAGAACAGGCTGGACCAAAAAAGAAAAAAAAAAAAGAAAAAAAAACCTAAACAAGCCAATCTCTCTTCTTTGGGATCATCCCCTTTGTGCACGAAGGATTCAACAGCAATGAACAACAAAAGGAAAAAGAACGGTTTCATTTATACAACCCTGACGGGGAGCGGAGCTGGACAGGTCACTTGGCTCAGGCCTCATCATCTGAAGTTTCGCTGCTGCTCGTCTCGGTGCCCGAGTCCTCGGCCTCAGGCTTCAAAGCATTTCGCCAAGTGGCAAAGAGGCCAGAAAGGCGGCGGCTCTGAGAGAAGCCGTTCCTCCCAAAGCCGTTTCTTCTTAGCTGGGGGATGGGAGAAGGTGACAATCACTGTGGGCAGGGACTCTACCCCCATCCCCCGGGGCTGGACAAGAGGTGAGTTTGAAGTGTCTGAACAAAGCTGTCCCAGGGAGGGGGCAGGTGGCGGACATACCTTCTCTGTCTTCATGTGGAACTCTCTTAGCTCATCCTCCGTGAGGGGAAGACAATTTTCGTCATTCTCTGGGTATTCCTGCCAGCCCATTGCTTTCAATAACCTACTCCAACAGGAAGAACATGTCAGTGGGAACAGGGCAGACGAGAGAAGCCCAAGAGCTTCCGGCCCCTTCCTGTACTGCTTCCCTCTTCTCTGTGCCCAAACACCCAAGGCCCTCAGCAGGTGCACATGGGCACCAAACTATCGCCAGCTCCTGGCGAGGGTGAAGAATGATTCCTCAAAAGCAGTCACATCATTCAAATTCACACCACCTATTTCCAATGACCGTATTTTACACAAGTATGACTCTGAACACTGTGAATTCAGCATCAGCAACCACTCTAGGGGATTCATTATTCACACTAATTGAGACATTCAAGATGACCAAGGCCACCAAAGAGATTCCCAGTGACGAATGTTACCGGTGTTACCAATGGCTAGAACCAACCAGCTCAGGAGACTGGAGGTGAGAAGTAGCTGGAGGGCCACTGGCACAAGGAGGAAGACAGACACAAGTACAGAGGGAATGGAAGAGGAATACCAAGTTCTCAGAAGGGAGAGTCAATGGTGTCTTAATTAAGGAATCCTTCTTTCTGCTGACCTCTCCCCCGGCTCCAATGCTACTAACTCTTCTCAACACAAAATTAACTACAGCTATAACATATTCATTCTTGCTTTGGGTGCCTTCCAGGACTGTTCTGGGCCAATGCAGGACACAGGCTTTCTGTGATGAGATGCTCGGTAAGACTTTCCTAAGATGACAACCTGTCTGTGGCCTGCAGGCCACCAAGTGCCCACCAGCCCGCCTTCCATACTAAGGAACACTCCCCGTGCTCGGTTTTCTTTCACTCACCTGTGTTCCGCTTCCAATGAGAGAGAAAGGCCTTCTCCCTCCTCCATGAGGGGGAGAGTAAGGCCATTCTGATGGCAACCCTCTTCCCCATTTTCCTTTGGTTCTGGTGTGCTGTTTCCCTCCACCTGCAGCAGGAGAGAAAGAAATCACCTGGGAAAACTGCCCTTTGCAAAGGAGCATCTGAAGTACCCAAGCACAGGATGATTTTCCTCCCTCCTGCCCAGTTCTTTCCCCCAAGGGAAACACAGGTTTACAGGGTTAACCAACTCCCAAAGGAGTACAAGAAGCTGCTGTCCTGGCTGAGCTTTAACCCATCTCATTGGAACCCTTTTTCTTATGGTGACTAATAATCTGTGTAACATCTATGCAAGCCGGAGCTGAGCAGATCAATAAAAGACTTAGTATGAGGGGAACAGGTTTCCCAAGTGAGACTGAAGCTAGCACCCAAGGTCACCTACTACCAAGTACTAATGCTGGCCCTCCGCTGCATGGAAAGCACAATATAATTCACTTAAGACAGGCCCAGACTTGCTACTGTACAACACAACATCCCCATCACTGACAGCTCACTTCATTCAAAATGAAATCTAAGATCCTAACAGAATTTGGACAATCATTCAGGTTTCTGTGATTAAGACCACCAAATAAGTACCAGGCTGCTTGATAAATCTCTCCTGTTGCAGAGGTGGATGGTGGTATCCTCTTAGCTCCAAGCTCTACTGGCTTGGATCTAAGACTTAAAACAAGTAGCAAGACGAGGTTTCCTCAAGTGTAGCCTGGGTTTCCTGAAAACCTCCCCCAAGTTGCCCAAAGGAGAAAAGAAGGGGATGAGTCAACAGAATCAGGAACATATGCAGCTTAGAAAGCAGTTGGGTTGCCATGGATTTCAGGACAGGCTCTGGGAGGCTGGACTGAAGCACAACAGGGTGGGATGCCCCTGAGATCCTAGGTTTGGTTTTCCCCAAAATGACTGTGCTCAAACTTACAAAGGACAGTGGTGGTGACCGCTGTGTTTGAAAGCACTCTCAAATGACCAGTGGTGAGGGGTGATTCTGCTTCAATACAATTTAGGTCAAGGTAATGGAAAAAAAGTTAATCAAACTATCAAGAAAAAGAATCTTTCAAGGTATAGCTCGAAAGGAAAATATGGGAGGGACACGACCCCTGCGTTTTAGTCTTTGAAGGATAATAGTTAGATGGATTCAGCATGAGTGAAATGGCCAGATTCAAAGAGTAATTATTAACAGTTCAGTGTCACCAAGACAGTAGGTCTCCAGTGGAGAGCTCCAGGGATCTGTGCTTGGACTTGCTCTGTTTAACATTTTTATCTACGACATGGACAAAGGCTGAGATGGTACTATTGATCAAATTTGCAGATAATGCAAAGCTAGGAAGGACAGCTGACATACTGGACAGCACTGTTGGGATCCAAAAGGATCCAAATTGAAAAGTCAGGCTATGCTAGGCTAGGCCACAGGGCTGAGTCTAATAAGATGAACTTCATTAGGGATAAATGTAAAGTCTTAAGCTCGGGTATAAAGAAAACCAACTTCACAAAAATAAGATGAGGGGGCCATGGAGGCATATGGAAAAAGATATGGGGATGAGGTACTGCCAAAGCTCAGTGAGTCATTAAGGTGATGTGGCAGGCCCTTGGACAAATGGGAGCCACATTCTTTCTGGGGCAAGGGGCAGGGGTCGACTTGGACCCTTACCCCATCATTAGGGGATAATTAGGCCAGGAGATTGTGGAACAAGGATATTATTCTGTTACTTAGTTAATGTTAAAGTTATCTCAGTTTGTTACAATTAATGTTAAAAGAGGAATAGCTTATGGCTTATCCTGTAAATGCCTTGAAAGAAGCATCTACTTTAATTAAGGATTATTTATTTGTACATGACTAGAAGTTGGGATTGTTTTGTTATTTGATATGTACTGGTTTTAAGTTAACTACTATGTATTGGAGTGTGTTATTAATTCCTTAGTGGAATCTCATCCTCCTGATGGTGAATATGAATAGGAATGAATAATGAACTAATGCAAGGTATAAAACTAGAAGCAATGCAGAATTTAAGGCTAGGTTCTAATTTTTTTCAAATCTGAGTGTCTTGAAACATGACAACTGGACGAAGTTCCAATTTTGATCTTGTAATGGTGAAGACATAGAGGTTGAGCTAATTTTCATTATTTGCCCTGGTTATCGGCAAGGTAATTTAAAATTGTGTTGAGATCAATCTCGTAGGAGAGTGGATACTAGAAGGAGGATCTCTGCAGGAGGAGAGTCTGCTGGACACTGAACAGCACTTAGACAAGAAGACTTCACCGGACAACGTCCAGAGTGTCAGACAGAGGTATGAGAAGAGACTTACGAAGCTTTAAATGGACAATTTATCATTACTTTTGGGTCTCTGTATCTGTACTTAATAAGGGGACTGCCCCCTTTTTAATTTGTCAATGTGTCAGTCAACTCTTCACTTCCTTCTCTTGTACTGTTTTAAGTCCCCAAAATCCCTTGATGAAATGTTGCCCAGCAGCACAGTCCCAGGTAGAACCATCACTAAGGCACTGCAAGGTTTAACCACTTTAGCTGAGGAGCTGGCAGAGAATTCTGGGATAGATAAATGATTAAACTGATGGTTAGAATCCTGGTTTGGCAAATGAAAGGGAATAGCAGCATCTATCATCACCTCTCTAATTGTAGCTGCGGGAGTTTTAACTGCAGTAAGGTGCTGCATCATCCCTTGCATCAGAGGGCTAGCGCAAAAATTAATAGAAACAGCGCTAACTAAAAGTATCCCAAAAGGACCGGCTATGGGAATTCAGGTAACAGGATCAAGTGGAGTTAGAATGATGACTGAGAGAATTAATGATCATTCCTCCTCTTCTGATGAAGAATTTGAACTAATGTTAAAATGCTTTGAGGAAAGACAACAGGAACAAAGAAGTGTGGAAACATAATTCTTATTGAGAAGAAGAGGAGGGAATTGTTAAGAGTTAGACGGGCTTACGTTTCCACAGGTAGAATAATGCAGAGATTTAAAGAACAACAGCCCCAGCAAGTAGTACACTGTAGGTGGGCTTGGGCTTAGCCAATAAAAAGTAAGTTGATGGTTCCAAAAAGACCCCAAAATCAAGATATGGGTTGAGCCAGCTCAGACCAGTTAGGCTCAACCTGAGGACGCCTGAAAAATGTTAGTTCGCCTGCTTAATGAACTTCATTACTATTATCTGACGTGCCCCACATAAAATTAGAGCCTCATTAATGAGTCATGGCAGGTATGACCAAGGGAGGGGGAACATACTTGAGCATATCAAGGGGAAACATGTAAGGAAAGATGTAACCCGGGAAGTGATGGACCAATTCAGGCCTGGGAGGTTTCGAGCCGAATTCAACTGCATAAAAGCACACTTGGCCTTGCACTCAGGGCCCATCCCTCCTGAAGAGGGGTGGAGCCCACTGCTGGCCAGAAATGTCTAAATCCTCTGGACTTTCTCTGTAATAACTTTTCTTGATACCAAAATAAAAAAAAAAGTGATGTGGCAGCCAAGCCAGCTAATGCCACCTCGGGCTGCTTGGGGAGGGGCAATGCTTCTAGAACAGGATGGTGACAGTCTCAGCCGAGCTCTCCTCAGTCCTGGGAAGGAGTCTTATGCTCAGCTGTAAACACCAGAAT